ATTAAATCGATGTTAAAAAACTGAATCTGTTCTTGCCAGCCTTTAAATCGATGTTGATATCCTCAATGGTCATTTTTAGGCCCCTCCCTTGCCAGAGTGATGGAATACCGCAGTAAGCAAATTGATCTTTTGTTTTATTTTCTACTCGAGAAAATAATATGTGCTTCAAATATTTATTTACACATGATACCATGATATCATCAGTGGCTATTCATTTCAAACCTCATATCCCTCAGCTTCATGAGTAATTGGTCTTCCTAGTCGGAAATGATCTCCGACTTGCTGAACGGCATTAATGTGTGAGCGATTTCGCGTGCTCTTACCACGCTGGTCTATTTCGGTCATCTTCCTACCATCTGAGACGGGAACACGGACAGAAATAATTGGTGCTTAATTGATGATCGTTCAAATAACACGGTACACAAGCCACTTAAAGTAGCCAGCACACTTGTTTGTGCTTGTCGCTGGATGTCGTTTCTAGCCTCTCCAAGTCGTTGAACTGATCGGTTCTCAAAAGGATATTGATGATGCAGGGTTTTTACACCTACGTCGTCGTATGCCTGCTTCCTATGTATCGCCTGATCACTCAAACTCACCGACAGAAGAGGCATGTTTGCGCTTCGCTTAAGCACGCCGGTCTGCCACTGGGATATGTATTTACTTTTATCTGACATTGAAGTAGCTACAAGCAGACTGGTTATTGGTTCACCTTTTTTGGATTGATTCAATCATTGATTCATTTGATTTTTTCGATTCAATCACCGTTTGATTCATCAAAAAAATGGTGAATCGATTCCTTTTGATTCACAAAAAAAGGAATGATTCACGTTTGATTCAGACAAAAAGTTGCTGAACGATTCTTTTTTGATTCAATCAAAAAATATTTGTATTTGTTGTATTTATGTGTATTATTTATTTGTATTCTTGTGTTCTTTTTGTTGTCATGCGGTTATCATCACATGGCAGTAGTGTAAACATTTGTTGATAATGACTTATGCACTTCAGTCTTCAACTTTTTTCAAGTTCATGAATCATTAATTTTTTGATTCAATCAACCCTGATTTCCAATGCGTTTGATTCATCATGGCTTGTGAATCAAATAATCCTCACGGTGAATCAAATCTTTTTGATTCAACACATTTTGTTTGATTCAATCCAATCGATTCAATCACGGGTGAATTAAACACCAGTCTGGCTACAAGGCTCTTGTTTCGCCGTCAAATGTAGGATTCTTGCCATTAGCAAGTGATTTAGACGATAGCAATTAGGATATTTTGTTATTTCCAACTACTATTATCTCTAGCTAATCTGTTCTTAAAGCATCGATGGGGACATAATTTAGGATCAGCTGTACAGTGTGCAGGGGAAGCAACTTGATTCAAATAATTCAAGAATCGGACGAGAGGCTGCTCGATCACAAGCAACTACCGCCAGCGACCGCATTCACTCACAAGTCACTAGCACCAGTGACTGCGTCTACTCACACAACACTACAATTAGCGACTGCATCTCGTCACACGTCACTAACACCAGTGACTGCATGTTTTCACACACCGCCAGCGACTGCATATCATCACACGTCACTAGCCCGCTCACAGCCGGAGACCGCATTACCGCATAGGACACAAACACCAGATCGCAATCACTCTAGGGGCTCAGTGATCAGATGACAGGGTTCTTCACGGCGGTGGCGGGGGCGTCACGCCCCCACTCCGGGCCAGGTGAACCGCGAGGTGTTGTTTTCACCAGTCCGTGACAAACTGCCGTGAAATGCTCAGGAGGTGGCGGAAAGTCACGCTTTGATGTGATAAATCTCGCACCGCTTGACGCATATGAAGTGTGCGCCCCGCTCCAGTGCAGGTGTCAAACTTGCGTCATGCGTTTGCATTGTTTCTCAGTTCTCATGACCTGCTATCGTTGCTTGGGGTGTGATGTATGTGACGGCTTTCGTCACGGTGACGGGCGAGGAACATTTGTAGGTGCTGGGAATGGGTACAGGTACTTTATCTGGTGTGCTCTGCTGAGATGAGGAAATACTGCGATTGTCGGTGCGCCAGCTCATATTCTCCCGTTCGGGCTACGTTCAGTAAAGGCCATAAAGAACAGACACATGAAACAAGGGAGCACAAAACAATGCCACCGCTTGCCCAGGAATGCAACAACGAAGTAGTTACATAACCATAGCCATGCGTTCAGTACCCAGCTGCTTTTTTACCTTCAACGCTCGCCCCGGGCACTCATGACTATTGTTGCATCTGTGTTTCACATGGCACTGCTGAAGGCAATATTTCGGATCCCTCGTAGTCGTGAAACACCTTTTTACGGGATACACACTCACATCTTTCGAAATCACTAGCAATGTGTCCTTTGTTGTGATATGCCTGCATTTTGTTTTCTTTCTGAATTGCCCATAATATCACAATGGTCCACTGCATGGCTTGCTACTTCTGTGTTTAATTAGTCACCCGAAACGGCTGAAACCTCGTCATTCCTCACATTCGCGAGGCATGCAAGGAAAGAGCACTGCACAGTGCACAACTTGCGCTTTCATTACCGATCCTTACTTGCAGTTTCTGCGCGGGAGCGCCTCCATCAGCGTCGTATACCATCGTGCCACCGTCAGGTCACGTTTTGCGCCGAAAGTGTCACGCTGTGCACCCTGAAGTGCACCCCCGTCGGTCCGCCGGCGCCAGGGTGGGCCACCCAATTACTGCGGTCGGCACTCGCGCGTCCGATTCCGCGGGCGATGTCACACGCTCCGAGACCTTCTGCAACGCTGTGGTCTGTGGTAACTGCAAGGTCAGGGTTACACACCGGCGAGTGCAGAAATTGCATACCAGCACCGACCACACTGGCGTAAGTGTACACTCGGCCAAACACCCACGAAAGACCAAATACAAGCCTCCCCAGTCCCCCCCCCCCCCCACACACACATAAACAGATTATCGCAGTACATATCCAAAGTCGGATGTATATTATCGTTTGAAATTAGGCATGATGACAAATACGAATGATATCATTCAGGTATCAACCATTGTCGATTTTAAACGTGTCGGCAACATTTCAAATGTATAAGTTTTGATAATTTGCAATTACTTGGCTCTTTAACACCAACACTAGTCACTAGTCAGTCAGTCTGCTCCTCCGTCAATCCGTAGTACGTCTCTACACTGCACCCATCCAGTTCCCTCAAGTCCGTCCAGCGATTATTTGTTGGTTTCCCTTTGAAACTTGGCCAGGTCAGCCGTACCTGCTGCTTCCCCTGACCACCGAACTGTAGCTGCCACTCATCGCGGGGTGAGGTCCCGGGAAGGGATGATGGCTTCTCATATTGAACTGCCAACCACATGGCGAGAGACGTTTCTGACACAATGACATAGCTCAAGGCTTACTTACTGGATGCAGCCCCATGGTCTGGGCTCACTGGATCGAAGGCGTGTCCGGTATGTGACTTCCGCTGCTTTGCTGTATTTCCTCATGCTTTGCTACTCTTGACTGAGTTTTGCAAAGCTATTTTAGTTAGAGGATATGAGTGTACCGTACTTTCCTATATTTGAAATACCGGACATTTCAGTTTGTTGAGAACGTGTTGCCGACTCATTTCTTGGGCGGGCGTGGTATATTTTGAAGGACATGTCAGCTTGCGTGCATTTTCGAAAACGCACAGCTGTGATTAGTTGGTAATGAGCAGTGGATGAACATTTTCACCAAGGCAGTGATTCTGTCATCTGGCTCATTACTCATTACTTGACTATCAGATGTTTTGCTGAGCGAGACATTCAGATGTCAAGTACAGCTCATGTGGTCGCTAGTGCGGCATTACCTGGCTCGAAACAATAGACAATTGCCTGCCCAAGCACGCTGTCAGGCACTCCTTGTTTGGCATTCCTGTACAACTCCAGGCCTTTCAGCAGTGGGCAACAATTCACACTCGAAAAACACGGCCTAAACACGAATAATCGCCATTTTTACCGTGCATGGCCTTCAGAATCGGTAGCTATCCGGCACATTGTGATAAAACATTCACAAAAGCATTGTTTTGAAGAATGAATTATGCCACGGCACGGCGCTCCCGCTCGTTATAAAAGCAGGCTCCTCGATGGGACCTTTTATTTTCGTAGCCGACAGCGATAATTTAAATATCGTGAATGCCGGCTGATTTGTTTGTCAAAGCCACATTCCTCACAAAGTGAAACCGAGCGAGTGTGTGGCCGAGGTCAACCAGCAAACGGTCCGTCTACGGCAAGCATGAATAATGAATATGCGTATAAGATTAGCAGAGTCGTTCCCTCTTTCACACTGCATAGCCATACACAATGTTGGCAAGCCACGGGTGTTTCACCAAGGAAATGAATCTAGAAAAAATATGTGAGATCGGTCGTGGTTATTAACACCATTAAAAGCTAACAAGAATGAAGACGGCAAATTATAAGACGTTTCGATAAGTCTGTTCATAGACCTCATAGACCATATCCAGAGGTCTATGGTCTCTTATAACCGCTAACTCCCCATTGTGCTTCTTCACACCCCCTAACGACTCTGCCACTATTCTACTGATGAGTCGTCAAAGTCACACAAAGAGCACCTCTCCATCTTCCCTCGGAAGCCACCACCACACACCGTAGCGCCTCCACGGCTCCGAAAGGGGACCGCCCGCCGCTAGTAGCACGCCTCATCACCACGGGGGACGCCGCGCTGGGGACAAAAGGCGCTCGTGATGTCGCCCCATTATGGTGACGTAATCGAGGTCACGTGACCGAGTGGCGCGTGCGACACGCCGTTTAGTCCGGGCCGTCGTTTAGGCGGCCGTCCGGGCTGGCCTGGCGCCGCCGCGCTCTGGCGAGGGGCTTTGTTCACGATATAAGCCGGTCGTTGCCGTATAGAGACGTATCTGGTTAATCTATAGCGCTATATTTGGCGCGTGTTTGAGGGTTTTGTTCTAGCAGAGCAGAGTGTAATGTGGAATGTAATGTGAATCTGACTCAAGGCTGTCTTTTCAGGGGCTCGGCGCGTCAAGATGCAGACACAAGAGGAGGTGATTGGCCGGATTGCCGAGGTAAGTGCTGAGACGCAGCGCTAACAACGCACATATTTTATCATTGCAGAAATACAGACTAACATCAGAAAATATAATTACATAAAATATCATTACAGACATTACAGAAATACAAATACAAGGGCTTAAAGTTAAGCGAAGGTAGAGCAAGTTTGGCGAAGGTAACTAGAGCAAGCTATGCTCAAAAGCTAATGCATTATTAATGTAAATTCATGCACTTATACACATGCATGCAGTGCAAGGCCGCCATTTAATATTTTGCATATGCGCATTGCAGTGCATCTCATTTCACGGTTGAGTAGACATTGCATTGGTCACATGATCGCCTCATGTATGAAGGTGCAGGCTTGAAGTGAACATGTTCTATCACGTAGTTAGTGGTCGATTGGTCATGAGTAACTGCACAGCTGGGTTGTTTGTGGCCCCGAGGTGTGGTTACTTACTACTCTTGTACTTACTATCGTCTATAATGTCTGATTTTATTTTGTTGTTAACTTCGTTCAAATCAAAGATTGCAAAGCTGCTCGACTGTCCAGCTGCAGTTGGAATATATTTCGCTCCTTTTTTATTCTACTTATATGAACCTTGTAAGGACTCTTGCTCTATTTGATTTTAGTTACTCTTCTCTTGCTCTGACTATAGTTGCAAGGTATAGTTACATAGTCGCATGTGTATTTCCCCTGGTCTGCATTTGGAGCCAAACAGATCCATCACATCATCCTCCAAACGTAATTAGTCCCAACACTCGCCATCCCCGCCGATTTTCTCTTTCGCTGCCCATGCCCCCCGACCTTGCCGATGCCTCCGTGTCGGCCCATGACGGCAGGGTCGTCCCGGGCACGACAAGCACCTCGTGAGGGCGTGGTGAGCAGACAGGTCTGCCGTGCAGGGCTGCCGTCAGTTCCGGCACGGAGGAATGACAAGGTCAATCGGCAGGTGCCTGGTGGTGCCGCCCCCGCCCCCGCCCCCGCCACTGCCCGGGCCTGCTGCCGTTCGTGGACAGATTTGCGCCAGGCCTTGGTCTCAATGAGAAGTTAGCTTCGTGATGGGGGACGGAGGAAAGCAAGACGACCTTACTTTGATGAGTGTCAACAAATTGTTTGGTTTCAGCCAGGAAGGCTTGATGATTAGTTTCAGGAAAAACGATGTGAGATGTAAGAGGTCTAAGGGCTTGCAGCTGTCGCAAGCGCTTATATCCTATCGTATCTGGCATGTGATATTGATGTTTTCCTGGAGTCAGCAGGCAAGTGACAAAACTTTCAGAGAAATGATACACAAAGCCTTGCTTTCTGAGCTCACATCATTTACCCAATAACTGCAAGTCCCTGTGTCCTACTGTGTCTGCATTCTCTCCAACATGAGTTAGGGATAGATACTATTAATCACCCTCCGATGTGGAGTAATCCGTGACCACTGAACTCACGTCACCCCTGCCCTTGCCAAGGTGACCCTGTGCTCACGTTTGACCCCTGCCGGCGCGTGACTGGCGGGTAGCTCGTGCTGGCATCGGTGCTCGACACGGGCTGGAGGAGCCTGTTCATTTCCGTCGCTGACGCGTCTGTCACGCTCGGTTTGACCCCAGTGATGTCATCAGAGGTGCTGTGATGTCATCGGGGCTATCAACTGACCAATATGGTAGTGCGTGGGATGTAGGATGTGCAGTATTGGTCACACAAAGACTCGAGGAGTTTGACGGTGGAGTGGGCTGGTGGGGAATGGGGAGGGGGGATGAGAAGTGTGACGCATGAGATGAGATGGTCACAACGTAACGATTATAATTGTGACTCACAATTATAATCGTTACGTTAGCTGATGGCTTTGATGATATACATCACACTACCTTAAGATGTATATCCTTATCCACACCTTTTGCCTTTACCTGTGTTCAATCACCTGTCAATTCCGAGTTTATTCAAGATACCGTTTTGTACCTACCAGCGTTAACCAGCGACGGCGGTATAAACGTGGCGTAGAACCGATGATTGTGCACATCCTCTCAAGGGCTCACGTATCTGCTCGTCCTAAGCATATCCGGTTTGAAGATGACGCTATTTTAATGGTATCATGAATGGAATCTTCTGCATACATGGGTCCTTCAGCTATTTCCAAGAGAATTGAGATAAGGTGAGCCCTAATACAATCGGCTTCCTGCGAGAGCGGCTGGTGTTTTAATGCTTCAGTTCATCTAATTCCACATCGGGATGGATTTTAGGCTCACAGTGCCGCACCCGAGCAGAAAAAAACTCAGTCGAAGGCTTATCGCATTACGTAGGGAGGAAGGTTGAATATATTTTACAAAATGTCCTCCTGGCCAGGGTCAAACGAATACATGAGTGCATAACATTCTAGCCAGTAGTAAGCATATTTTACAATCAGAAGTATATTTGGAGTGTTTCTTTTAGCCATGTAACATTAGGAGTAACAAATATAGCTTTTTGAGAAATAGCAAATATTAGAACCGCCTTTCTCGCTCGGTATGAGAAAACGTGTTCACCAGCAGCCTTTTTCCAAACATTTTCAGCCAGTAAGTCTTCGTTTGCTTCTTTTTTACTGCTCGTAAGGTCGCGTAACACTTTATCTACATATGCTCATGCTGCGCAAAGAGGTAGTGAACAGATTAGCGAATGCGTAAACAAGCAAACTCTCCGTCGTGTTCAAATGAATTCACACTCATTTTCAAACACACACTTCTCTCAAGGTCACTCCTAATGCGTGAACGAAAGTAAAAGCTACCGTACGTGCATGGGCCTCCCTGCGGCGTCGCACACTGGTCGGAAACGCTCCCGCGAGAGGCCAGCGGCCTTTCCGCAAAAGTTTTTGCTTGTTATTCCACAACTAGTGAAGCAAACTTCATAAAACTTTGCATACCTTCTCTGTCATATGTAAGCTATCATTTGGATGTCAAGCACTAAATATATGACGTGAATCTGTTAATTTATGACGTCATAATTGAGTATAATACAGGATCTAGAACCACTTTAAGTCAACAAGGGAAATTGGGAGCTGCTATTCGGGCACCGGGAATGGTTTCATGCACTCCTTGCAAGGTCCAGTGCTTCACTTAAGCATTGTTGACTTTGCGTGACGTCATTTATGACGTCACTAAGGCCATATAAGTTTTTCGTCAATAACTCCTGATCAGATGGAGCTAGAGAGTCGGGAAAGCCACCATTGAACTCAAGAAGACCTGCCGAATCGAATGATATGCGATATGACCTCCTTCAACCATTTTCGTGACCTGAGGGGCTCCGACCTGACCTTGACCCGAGGTTAACACCTTAAGTTGACTTCACCCGAACACCAAGTATAGCATTCGACGCGCCTGAGCTAGACAAACACGATGATGCCAAAATCGCGGCAGTGCGGCCATTTTTGGCAAAGTAATTAACTTAAAACCGAGCCCGTGCCTTGTGGCACTTACCTGACCTAAGAGGTCACTAGCTGACCTAAGACCTTAAAATCGGGTAGTACCTAATTGTTGCGTCTTATAACGGCACACAAGCTCTTTTTCCGCGAGGCTCTAGCTCAATTAGAGGCGAAACGGCGAGGGAGTTGTACCAACCCTCCCCGGTCAATATAGAAAACCAATCGGTCCGGCCAGGGTTAAATACCGGAATTGTGATCTAATGTAAAAAGACGGCCCAAGGTAACCCGACGTCAGTGACAGGTGTCCTATATTTGCAGCGTCTTATATTCACGAAGGTTTCAATTTCCACTTTCTTCAGCCGAGTGATGGTTGTCAATAGCAAGGCTCTCTAAATGCAAGCCGTAATCGCCACGCAATATGTGGAAGGCTTTTGATGTCAATACATACTTAAATGCATACATAAAACGCGCTTTTCACAAAATTCATAAGCTCAAACGCATCTGTTTTTAATGACCAGTCAACTACGCATGGATGCGTGCAGGCCACACAGGTCAGCGTAAGCCGGGCGCGGCGGCCGAGCCGAAACTGGGGCGGGGCGGGCGGTAGTTGGGTAGGAAGAGCGGCTCCTGCAAATTTTGCGCAAATATGCGCAGTTAGCTTTTATGTTGCCCTGGTGTAAATTCAAATCCTGCTTCATCTCACAAAAAATCAGAGTGGAACTAGATGGGACTACCTGTTGTTTCCTTACCTAAACTTTGCAGTTATATTCCAGAATCACTGTAGGAGAACCTTCATAAAAAAGCTACAGTTAATCTTAGTTAGGGAAAAAGTATACCAAAAATTTGCACTGACCAGTCGGCAACTTCATAAGGAACATTTTGATGCATAATATGTGGGATTTCAATTTGGTGTCTATCAGCAATAAGACTTTGAATATCCGGCTCAAGAAACCTCTTGCTCTGCGTCAGTTTCCGAGTTCTGGGATACCCCATCTTCGGGGGCTGATTACAGTTATTTTTGGTCACCCGGATTAGTTTTTTTGGCCGAAGTATAATAATTTGATCAATTTCAAATCGATCTATATAAAAAATAATCCGAAACTCCGGAATCACCCGTGGCCTCTCGTGAGGGCGTTTCCGACCAGTGTGCGTCGGCGCGCTAAGCTGGCCGATAACTCAGACACGCGAGGCGGAACAAGAGCACCTGCCGGGTCTCCATCGCGATAACTGGTCTCGCCAGCAGTTGTGTAATGTGCGTGCGCTCACTGGCCGGGCCAGAACAGAGTGACTGGACTCCTAATTGACTACCCGGAGCGAGAGGAACGCAGCATGGTCACCGGCCGAGAGCTCCCGGGAACCGAGAAAGCTGAGCGAGTGGACAGGGGCGGCACTGAAGGCCGGGACTGGCGGTCGGAAGGAACTGCCGAGACGCGAGATACGCGACGGAGGACAACGTAGATAAAGGCCGGGTACGACTGTACGCGGCTTGGAAAGTGAAAGGACGGTGTGGTTTCAAAATTCCAGATTATGCCCTGTTTACGAGCTGATAACATTAGGAGGAGCATGTCTGTGGTTGTGGTTACCTTCAGAGTTCAGATTCATCGTGCCAGTGACAGGCCTTGTATAAGAATGGT